ATTCAACTTCTAACTCATAATTCAACAAATAAATTTCAGATAAATTGCATTTCAGCATGTGAAAAGGAGAGTAGTAAAGCTTTTAGGATAAAAATAGACGATTACCTATATGACCATGATATGAACAAAGACGTCCTAAATAGGAAACGTAAAATGCTAAACATCGAGAAGAAAACTGCTAAATTGGACTAAATTAAATTTAAATGCTTGTTTTAAGATTTTATTAACTTCTCCCTATACCCAACATGAGGCTCAAACTTACAACCCTGAGATTGAGTCGCATTCTGTACCAACTGAGTCAGACAGGTACCCCAACTGCTTCTTTTCATTAAAAAAAAATCATTTAAGAAGGGGTGCCTGAGTTGTTCAATCAGTTAAGCATCCAAGTCTTGATCTCGGCTCAGGTCCTGATCTCATGGTTTGTGAGCTTGTGTCCCAAGTCAGGCTTTGCACTGACAGTGCGAATCTGCTCGGGATTCTGGCTCTCCCTCTCTCTCTACCCCTCCCCTTCTTGCTCTCTCTGTCTGTCTCCCAAAATAAATAAATAAACTTAAAAGAATTATTTAAGAAAATATTTAAAAAGCAAACCAGGAACAGAGTGATTTTACATATATATACATAGTATATTAGATATGTAATTATATATTATAATTAAATATTTGTATTGAATATTTTATCCAATATGTATTTCAAATAAATAATATAAATATGTTAATGTTTTCAAATATAAAGTTTTATGTAATACATCATAAATATTCTTTATATAAAATCACATATATCTTCTCCAACTCTGTATGTGTCTATGTACATATATGTCTATAACTATATCTACACCTACCTATATATTGTTTATTAGATATATATCTGACAAAGGACTCATATGCAGAATATATAAAGCATTCCCATAAATCAATAAGAAAAGGACATATGAAATGGTGCTTATTAGTCATCAGACAGATGCAAATTAAAATCACTAAGAGATAATACACACAGTACCAAGTGCTGGTAAGGAGGTGGGGCAATTAGAATGTATGAAAATACATTATCAAAAGCGTATCAAATGGTACAACCATTTTGGGAAGCTCTTTGGCAATGTCTACTAAAGCCCAACACACTTATACCCTATAATTTACAGATTCCACTTCTAGGTACACCCTCCTTAATGGGTTTAGGCTTGGACTCACTCATTCAAATGCATACAGAGAGAGGTCCCGCAATGATATCAGTTGTGGTAGACAACATGGAGTGTCAGGGACTGTGGTAAACTGTCTCCACTCCCTATTGTCTATCACAATTGACACTACTTGGCTGGCCTATCTCTGTTTGCATTTGAATGTGTGTCCCCAAGCCTAAAGCCATTAAGGAAGATTATGATAGGTGCCTGGGAAGCCCTCTCCTCACTGAAGAAGAAACCCAGCGGGCCACAGCCCCGCACACTGTCCAGAAGGGCATAATCAGTGGACGTGACAGAAGCAGATACGCTGGACACTATTTGGCACGGCTGCCCTTCGCTCTTCTGTTCACTTACCTCTGCAAACAGCCCCTGCTGCCGTGTCTAGACCTCAGGTTTTGACCGACCTCTCTCTCGCAATGGCTCATTGCTCTTGGGTGGACACCTTAACCCCAGCGGTGCATGGATGTAGTTGGTGATCTGCCCAGATCCCCTGGCGAGGGCAGCTGCTGTGAATGTTGGCTGCTAGCAGCTCACAGCTGCCCGCTTCTGTTGAATAGCCTTGCCCCCAAGTGCTTGAGAACCCATGCCCACAGCTAATAACGGATGGACATGGGGATACAGGAGGCAAGCGCCTTTGCCTCAAGGCGGGATAACTCTGAAGGGCCATTCACTCTCCAGATCCCACCAGAGGATCAGGCTGAGGCTAGACTGGCCCCTGCTTCATCCCGCTTCCCTCATTGCCTTGCACGTTTCTGCGGGGGGCGCACCCCACGGAAATCACCTGCACCAGGATCGCTCTGCTTGTAGGGAGCCTGAGCATAGGGGATCTTCTTTCCCCAGAGAGCCAGAGAGCCCGGGGGAGGCTGAAACGATTGATTGGATCAGTGGCAACACAGCCATGAACTCCGGGAGCGCCAGCCCTTCCATGCCGAGCTGTGGTTCTTCAGTGTCCCTCTGATTTCGTAAAAGCCCCCAGGAGCTTCCCGATAATCCCCCTTCTGGTTTCCCTGAGCCAAAGTCCACCTCTCCGCCCCGGAACCAGTATGAGCTTAGCTAATGGGATGTGTAATCCGGGCCTGACCTAACGTGGCTTCGGAGATAGGACCCGAGGCTTCGTGGGATAACGTCAGTCGGAATCCTGAGGGCAGAAAATGCCTTGATGCGCCTTCCCATAGCCTTGGCATCGGTAGCTGGAGGTGCACTGGGCACGCCCCCCGCCTTCCAATCCCCAGGAACCGGCCTTGCTGAGGAGCCAGTAGTTACGCAGGCCTGTGCTTCCCTGAGGCCCCGTGGGCTCCCTGGAGGAAAGAGCAACGAAATTCCTTCCACCGGACATCATCCTCTCCCGTCGCTCCGTCCCGGAGCCTCCGGCGTGTCGCTGAGACTTCCCATCCCTAAAGCGTCCCCCCTACACCCTCCTGTCCGTGCGTACACGTGTGCGTGCCTGTTTGCACACATGTTAGGAAAGCAGAAGGAGGAGGTGGGGAGGGAGCCACAGGCGGGTAGTCGGAGCTCAGAGCACTGCCCTGCGTGCGGGAGATAAGGAAGGACACAACGCAAGCCTGATTCGTCCCACTCCGAGTTCTTCACGGATTCCTCAGAAAATCGGTCCTTCTGACCCAGCCTCTCCCCTCTCAATAGTCAGAGGCGGCCTTGGTCGGAGCCGGTGATGGTGACTCTATGGCAATTCTATGTAGTTTAGCCCAAGACAAGCTGCCCCCCCACCCCCCCGGGTCAAGGGCGGCTCTGGCAGGGTGCTATTTTAAGGTGTGGGCGCAGGGTCTGTTCTGCAGCGGGAGGGTCCCTCTGCCCGCCCTCCAGTCCCGTGTTCTCAGGGGACACTCGGCCGCCCGGCCAGTGCAAAGTTGAGAAGTCCTTCCGGCTCGCTCCCAGTGACTGGGAGACGCCAGAAACCGACGGTCCCCTGGCCTCGGAGCGTCTACAGGGAAGCTGTTCTTGGTCCACACGGTGCTTTTTCAAAGTACGGTCTGGGCCACACAGGGCTCGCAGCCCCACCCCACCTCTCCCTCTCGTCTGTCCCCGTTGACGTTACCTGCCTGGCTTCTCTCTGTGGGCACTGGAGCCTGTGACCCTAGGCCCAAGGTCATGTTCGGTGCCCGGGAAGCACCCCGTCCTCTCTGAGGAAGGAGCAGGAAGGTTAGGAGACGGAGGGGTCCCATCAGAAGAGGGAAGGCCCGGGCAATCGTGAGCCAGAGCCTCTTCTAAGCATCATGGAGGGTGAGAGGAAGCAGATTCCACCGATCACTTCAGGCACCCCGCTTGGGTCCAAATGTCTGAGGAGGTGGGAAGTTACAGAAGAGGCTACTTTGGGGGGGCGGCGTGCCCAAGACGGGAAAGAGGGAAAGAGGCGAGGCAAAGACCTGAGGTCACGGTGAGGAAATGTTCCCTCCCAACCACCCATTTTACTTTTCCTACGTGATTCATCCACTGAAGAGATATTTATTAAACATTCATTTTGTGTTAGGCATTTTCCTAGGGCCTGGCATTGAACAAATATTTGTGGAGCTTTTTAAAAAAAAATTTTTTAATGTTTATTTATTTTTGAGAAAGAGAGAGATAGAGTGTGAGCAGGGGAGGGTCAGAGAGAGAGGGAGACACAAAATCTGAAGCAGCTCCAGGCTCTGAGCTGTCAGCACAGAGCCCGATGTGGGGCTTGAACCCACGAATGGTGAGATCATGACCTGAGCCAAAGTCAGACGTTTAACCGACTGAGCCACCCAGGCGCCCCTCTCTCCATGGTTTCATCAAGATTCTGAACTGTTTCGAACCACCACCACCATGCTTTACCTCTTGGGATAATTTGAATACCCCTTTGCCTTGAACGAGTTATAGAAAATCGTCTTCCCTTCACCGAATTCTAGAACGATAGCTTTGAAAAAGCCACGAGGGCTGATGAAGGCCTCCCACGTCCAGGAAACGGAGACCCAGAGGGGGTATAAGCTTCAGCAGGGGATGAGCTTGTCTCTGCTCATGGCTACGTCCCCGCCATTGCCTGGTACAGAATAGGTTCTGAATACCTGTTTCTTGGGTGGATGAATGGATGAATGAATGAATGAACAGCGAACTAAACAAGTAGGGGCAGAGTTGGCCCCTGAGGCACGTGTCCTGATCTCTGTCCAGGCTCGTTCACCTGTAGGTTAGCAAAGGGAAAGTCAGTCGTTTTCATAAGGGCCTTAAACAAAACACTAAGTTGAGGAAAAAAACAAAGCATAAAGGAAGAGTCAATGACAGGGGCGGTTTCCGAAGCACATATGACCATGTGTGTACAGGAGCCTGAGCTCGTGAAGGCCGCCTTGAGCTGCGTGTGGTTTATAGAAATTCCCCCAGAGCTCCTTGGACTGGTTGCTCTTACCTTGGAATAGGTGCCTTGGGGGGTAAAGGGCTCCCCAGAGAAAGCTTCCTACTCACCCGGAGCCCCTCACCTCCTTGCTTCCCCCAACATGCACCACGTCAGCCAGCTGTTACCTGACTGATGGGGTGAGGGAGGTGGGGGACTCTGAGCAAATATGGAATTAGGAGCCTCAGCTCTTGGCTCCGAGGAGGTTACAGACTTTGGAGGAAGACAACGGATGTGCCTCTGAAACTTGACTAATGATGGCCTTGATAGTGATTTTGCTGCCCATAATTTTTTTTAATGTTTATTTACTTATTGAGAGAGGGAGAGAGAGAGAGAGAGGGAGAGAGACAGAGCACAAGCTGGCGAGGAACAGAGAGCGAGGGAGACACAGAATCCGAAACAGGCTCCAGGCTCTGAGCTTCTCAGCACAGAGCCCCCACACGAGGCTCTAACTCACGAACTTCAAGATCAGGACCTGAGCCGCAGTTGGACGCTCAGCCGACTGAGCCGCCCGGGCGCCCCCTGCTGCACATCATTTAAATGTCAGCCAAAGGTAAGACAGGTGGGCGAGAGCCGTCATGAGGGAAGGAAGACAGCAGTGCGGGTCTGTGGCTTGAGAGAAGGAAGAAGAGGCTGATCTGCTCAGCCTCCCTTCCCACTTCTGGTTGTGGCACTTTGATTTACACCTCCCCCCCCCAAAAAAAACCCCTGCCCCCAACCCATTGCCTACAGTCTTGGAGGGATTGTCAGTTAAAGTGCTGTGTCCAAGGGGTATGTGTGACCAAGTGACCCACCAGGCCATTCACACTTTCTTCCAGGAATTTGAACCTTGAGCACAGGGACATAAGGGTAGAAAATCCAGCCTGATGGAAGTTTCCTGAAAGGACCACCCGTTAACTCCTGCTACCCGGACTCCTTAGGTACCCAGATTCCTCTTCTCTCAAGGGCCTGCCAGCTCAGACTCTGTACATTCTGCGAGCTTTCCCATATCCCTCCAACACGGTCTTTTAGGGTCCGTTTCTGTTGCCGGCAACCCAAGAACACTGCCTCGTACAGAAAGGTTCCTGGGAAATGTGGGCCGTGAACTGACACGGAGGCAAAGGAGGCAGAACAGACTCCAGGTGAGGGGACGTGTCAGCCAAGCCTCTCCAGAACTCTGCTTGGCCGGGCTCAAGGCTCAAGGGGACGTGTGGGCGGGGCTCGCCTGGGAAAGCGGGTCCTACCCACCCTTCTCCCGCGGCAGAGGCCCCCAGATGCTGTTGAGGAGGTGCGAACATGGGGACGTGATGATGGTCAGGCTGCCTGCGTCTGGCTTTGTGGGAGCGAATTCCTTACGCAGCCCCTGCTTCAATTTAATGGCGCGACTGGCCAATAACAAGTTCTCAGTAAATGATGGATATTATTATTATTATTATTATTGTCAGTAAAATTTGATGATACGATTCCAAATTATTGATTATCGAGTATTATCGTCACAAGTTACACTTCGTATTCAAAGCCACAGATCGTCTCTAAATGCACAGCCACCTGCACACAAAACACAGACATGTCAGAAATGTCCCTGAGGCCCAATCTGACATTATCAGAGACTTTACAACTGAGACAAAGCCGCTAAGATATCGTAAGAGAAAAGATCCAAGGGGCAGAGACTTCCACTACTGTGTTAAAGGGGAAATGGTGGTCTGGGACACAGAATTATGCAGCGGACAGGGACCCAAGTGACTGGCGGGGTGGGGAGGGTAACATAAAACACTTCCTGTTCTCATAAGACCCTTGGGAACTAGATGCAGATACGGCCCATCCTGCTTCAACAGGAGAATGCTGGTCCAGAAAGTACTCAAAGAGCCTAAGGAATGAGACTTTATTTTTTTTTTTTAATGTTTTATTTCTAGGAGAGCGAGAGAGAGACAGAGCGTGAGCAGGGGAGGATCAGAGAGAGAGGGAGACACAGACTCTGAAACAAGCTCCAGGCTCCGAGCTGGCAGTCAGCACAGAGCCCGACGCGGGGCTCGAACCCACGAACCGCGAGATCATGACCTAAGCAAAAGTCAGACGCTTAACCGACTAAGCCACCCAGGCGCCCCAGGAACGAGACTTTAAAGTGTAATTGTGTGATTAACATAATTTCATGGGGGCTCCAGAGTGGCTCAGTTGGTTGAGCTTCCCATTCTTGATTTCAGCTCAAGTTATGATCTCAGGGTCCTTAGATGGAGCCCCGCGTTGGGCTCCGTGCTGGGCATGGAGCCTGCTTGGGATTCTCTCTCTGTCTCCCCCTGACCCTCTCCCCAATATGTTCTCTCTCTCTCTCTCAAAAAATTAATAAATAAAATAAGGCAAAATAATTGTATGCATCGCTGTTCAAGAAGATGGAATGATGGAGAAGATGCAGGCCTGGGAGTTTGAAGTTCTGGATTTCATAGAGTCTGTTAGGACTGATCGTATCCAAGAGGATTTACCCTCTCAAAGCCTGACTTTCCCATATTAGTTTTCAGATCATTAAAAAAATAGAAAAAAGAAAAAAATTAAAAAAAAAACAGGGGTGGCTAGGTTGCTCAGTTTGTTAAGCGTCCGACTTCCGCTCAGGTCATGATCTCGCAGTTCATGAGTTCGAGCCCCGCGTCAGGCTCTGTGCTGACAGCTCGGAGCCTGGAGCTGCTTCGGATTCTGTCTCCCTTTCTCTCTGACCTTCCCCCTGTTATACTCTTTCTCTCTCTCTCTCTCAAAATTAAAACATTAAAAAAATTTTTTTTAATACAAAAAAAAGTAGCCCTAGACCATGACACACACGTCACTCCCCCACCTTTGTGGACTTGTGACCATGGGGCGCTCTGCCTGGAGCACCCCAATCTCACTCCTAGCGTAGGGAATGGGCAACAGGGTGGGAGAAGTGCTGCAATTTTGTGTATTTATTTTTATTCATTTTTGAAAGAGAGAGAGAGACAGAGAGTGAGCCGGGGAGAGGCAGAGAGAGAGGGAGACACAGAATCCGAAGCAGCTCCAGGCTCCAAGCTGTCAGCACAGAGACCAACGTGGGGCTCAAACCCACGAACCATGTGATCATGACCTGAGCTTAAAGTAAGGTGTGTAACTGACTGAGCCACCCAGGTGCCCCGAGATGCCTCTTTATTTTATTTATTTATTTAACATTTATTTATTATTGAGAAACAGAGAGAGACAGATCATGAGCAGCGGAGGGTCAGAGAGAGAGGGAGACACAGAATCTGAAGCAGCTCCAGGCTCTGAGCTGTCAGCACAGAGCCCGACACGGGGCTCGAACCCACGAACCGGGAGATTATGACCTGAACCTAAGTTGGACACTTCACCGACTGAGCCCCCCAGGTGCCCCTCGAGATGCCTCTTTAAAGTCTTCCCTGCTCTGTGCCCACTGAGCCCTTGTATCTGCCAGGGTGGAGTGTTTGCTGGGCCATGAGACTGCCCAGTTACCACCCCCCCACCACCCCATCTACTCCAACAGAGAGCAAGTTTACGGAAGGCACAGGATGTTTCCTCTGCACTAGAATCTGAAAAAACTGGCCAGCTCAGAGCCTGGAGCCTGCTTCAGATTCTGTGTCTCCCCCTCTCTCTGACCCTCCCCTGCTCACACTGTCTCTCTCTCTTTCTTTCAGAAATAAATAAAACATTTTAAAAAATTAAAAAAACTGTAATCAGTATTTTGCATAAAAAATAGACAGTTCTGAATAAATGAATGCCAAAATAGAGCTCAATTTGAGACACGTTGAGTTGACGTGTTTGCGGGACACAGAAGGCGGAAGCGTGTAGTTGAACAGCGGTGGGCTGGTAGTGTATATGCACTGGTTCTTGATAAAGTCCTGATTAGGAGCATTTGTCGAGCGCCACCGTGTAAATTCTCCCACCGTGGCCGATTTCAAGCCACCTGTATGGCAATGCGAAATGTGGGGTCGGGAAGAGATGTGTACGGTTGGCTCTCAGGGGTGGCTGTGGGTGGCTCCAGTGTAAGGCTGACCGCAGGCAGGTGGACGTGAGGGTGGGATGAGGGCTGGACAGGTGGACTCGGTGGTCATCTGCAGGGTGGTGGTTAGAGTAGCCACAAGATGACAGAGCTGGCTCAGGCCACAAAGAGAGAACAAGGGGAGATTCTGAGGTGACATCAACATCTATAAGGCATGTGAAAATGGAGCCTCTTTGAAGGAGGAGGTAGGAAGACCCGAAAGAGAAAATCAGTAGAGCCAGGTTGCTATAGTGTCATGGAAGCCAGAGAGTAGGAATTCTCCAGAAGATTCCCCATTGAGAGCAAAGAGATTCGGTAACCTAAGGGTTGAGAATGTCTGTTGTTGTCTACGGCCATACCACCCTGAACATGGCCAATCTCATCTGGCCTCAGAAGCTAAGCAGGGTTGGGCCTGGTTAGTACTTGGATGGGAGAATGTCTGTTGCATTTCAAAGTTAGTTAAACTTAATTTAACTAAAATGGGGGGGACAGCAGCCAGAGAAAAGAGAGGAAAATGTTTGAAAAGAGTGTATATAGCCAGGGCAGCTGCCATTTAGAGCGTTGTATTAGGTATCTATTGTTACAGAATAAAGTACTCTAAAACTTAGCTTAAAGCAACAATAAACACCGTCTCGAAGCTTCTGTGGGTCAGGAGCTCAGGAGCAGCATAGCTGCGTAGTGCAGACCCAGAGTCTCTCGTGAGGTTGCAGTTAAGATATTGGCCAGGGCTGTGGTCACCCGAAGGCTCGTCTGGGTCCAGAGAACCTGGTTCCAAGATGGCTCACTCACGTGGCTGTCAAGCCAGTGCAGGCTGTTGTCAGGAGGCCTCCGTTCTTCCCCACGAGGAGCTCTCCATATGGCTGCTCGAATTCCTAACAATATGGCAGCCTCTTTCCTCCAGAGCGTTGATCCATAAAGAGCATTGTGGGAGATGGCCCTCTTCCACCTTCTAGCCTCGGAAGACATATGTCATCACTTCTACAGTCTCCTATTGGTTACACAGACCGGCTACAGTTCAACATGGATGGGAGTGACACGAGAGCATGGAAGCCAAGAGGAAAGAACCATGACGGCGCCATCTTAGGGGCCAGTTGCCGCAGATGGAGACCATACCTGGAGGGCTGGGTGGCTTGCTGAGATGAATTGGCCTCAGGGTTGCAAACAAACTCTGATACAAATTTGCCTCATAGAATCACAGGTATACCTGGGGTCCCTGATACAGTGGTGTTAGGCTCCCAGTAGACGTTGAGGAGGACACAGGAAGACACCTAGCTATGCAGAGAATTTTTTCTGTGAGGACCACGCTGTGTACCCCGTTGTCGAGCCCATTTCAAACGCAGACCCCTCCCCTGGAAGATACAATATAGCTGGAGCTAGAAGCCAGCGTGACAAGATAGAGGTAGCATCACTATCAGAACGCAAGAAGTGCATTCTCTGTGACCTTGATGGTTAGGGTTTGCCTCTTCAGACCTCTGAGATTTTGTTTTTTCCAACAGTAAAATACGCACTTTGGTGGAAATGTTTTTACTTTGCAGTTTTGTGTGTCATAAATCTTTAAGGGCTTATGATGGTATATACAACACCTCCCATAATGCCTGAAGCTCTGAGTCAAATTTGCGGAAACAACTACCATTTTTTATTTAGTCATCTTTTGGGGAATCCGCTGCTGCCATCTTGTGGCCACTTCAAATAATAACAACTCGACTGTTGCTTTGGTCTTCGGGATCAGCCCCCAGACAATGGCCTGCGTCCCTCCTCCTCCACCCCGTCCTCTGCATTCTGAGTGAACATTTTCTTTCTTTTTTTTTTAATGTTTTATTTATTTCTGAGAGAGAGAGAGAGAGCATGAACAGGGGAGGGACAGAGAGAGAGGGAGACACAGAATCTGAAGCAGCTCCAGGCTCTGAGCTGTCAGCACAGAGCCCGACACGGGGCTCGAACCCACGAACTGTGAGATCATGACCTGAGCCGAAGGAGATGCTCAACCGACTGAGCCCCCCAGGCGCCCCCTGAGTGAACATTTTCTATGCAGGTCACCAATCTGCGAGGCAGTCTATTCCTATGTGGTACATATTTGAGTATTAGAGAGTTCTTTGAGATACTGAGCCAAATTCTGCCTTGGTCTAATTTCCATCCAATCTGTCCTTTTCCTATTGTATAATTTTTTTTCACATTTGAAGACAGTCGCTTGTCACATTTCCACACTCTTTATTCCTGGACTCACTATTTCAGCTCCCGTGAGCATCCGGCCTTACGTGATTGGATTTGCAGAGCCCTCGGCGGGCCAGGTTCCCTGGAAGCAGAGTCTGAGGCAAGGATTCTGGAGTGACTTCCTGGAGGGGT